TACCGTGTATGTACCCGTCCCTACATTTAATAAATAAAGAAATCGTACAATATTTTAATATTCTCCGAACAAAAGCAAACTTTAAGACAAATATGGCAAAACTCCTTATGCACATAACGATAACTGAAGTTTACACTGTGATCTATTACCCTTTATATAATTAGCATTTATTGATCCTAACAATAACGCACAATTGTAATTGGTACGTAGTAAACATATATGCTACCATAAGTTTTCCGACGGATCACAACAGGAATGCATTACAGCATTAAGCATGCATATACAATCATGTGTTAACTGACAAAGTGACTATATGCATACTTTCGGCGATTAAGCAAAGAGCCTAAAATATACTGAACTTTCTCACTCAATGAAGCACCAATAACAGAGTCTTTGATAAAGCATTGATCTGCTGTTGTCTGCCAGATATGTGAAATTAAATCTTGATGGTATAATTGTCTAAACGTAGGGCTTCATATAAACCGCATGTAAGCTCGTGCGATGCACACGTGTATTTTATGACGGTGAGGTTTACGTATCATATCAAGTGTCGAGTGAGCATCTTTTTTGTTTGAGAATCTCGGGTTACGTACAGTATCAAATGTCGAATGTGCATCATTTTTTTTTGAGAATCTCGTTTTCTCTAATATGTTTCTCTAATTTGTTTCTCTAATTTGGTTCTTTAATTTTGTTTCTTCAATTTTGTTCTCCAATTTTGTTTTTCCAATTTTGTTTCTCAATTTTGTTTCTCAATTTTGTTTCTCAATTTTGCTTCTCCAATTTTGTTTCTCCAATTTTGACTATTCCTCCACTTTCGACTTTCGTAATTAGTACAACCTATCATAACAACAATAAAATAGAAATACCATCAGGACAATAGTTTCATGTAATTCGGATATTCCAGTCTATTATAGTTCTGGCAGTCACGTGATAATGGACGTCTTCTGTATAGTTAAAAATTTCAACTTAATTCAGAGAATTTGATATAATTTACTTCCAAAATATTAATATGAGTTAAAATGAGTCATTAATTGACAAGAAAAACTTTATATTCAAAAATCTTTTAGTTTTATTTATTGTCCGGGACATTTGAATTACAGATATGCTTTATCCTACAGTTAATATGTTCCAGACCATTTTCTACCATAAACTTTACATTGATATCTTCATTAAAAATTAAAATTATAATCGTCTAGCAAGAAATGACGATTGTTGAAAAATTAAGTCTTAATAGAAAGATTATATAAAAGTATTAAAATTTACAAGTATGAAAAAAAAGTGCCAGCCCTTATTAAATAGCCTTATTTTTGAACCTTTTTTATTTATTATTTTATTTATTTATTTTTTTTAATTTTTTATATTTTTTTTTTGATTTTTCAAATTTTTTTAGAAAACAATCTGAATGGTTAAAATAGAAAATTACTTAGAAATAATTCATTTTATAATACTAGAATAGTAATAATTGACTTTGTATATACCTGAAAGATTTACAAAAACTTCTGTATTCATCGATCTCTTTATAAGAAGCATTCTGCATTTCATTAATATCCGGTATAGAAATGTTCATGAATTTTGATAATTCAATTTTATTGTGACTTATTGGATGGAGAATTGTGTCTGTCAACTATTTATAAAAAAAGCCATTTAGACTGATTTCTTGCTTACAAGTTAAATATGATGAAAAATATTACATACCAGTTCGCCAATCCTTCCACCATTAACTCCTAACAGAGTGTTTTTTGATTCATATAATACACTGTTAACTTGTTTACTTGATATTATTAGTTCTTCTAATCTTTTCTCATTTAAGTCGGATTCAAAATTTTCTCCAATAAATTCAAAATCTAAGGGTCACGTGATCGCGAATCAATAAATTTTTCCTTTTTTTAAAAAAAATAAATAAATAAAATAAAGAGAAAAGTACTTACATGCACCAACAAGATCCTGGGTAGTAGGGCCGCAATTACCCAAGAAATTCTCAATTACCATAATTTCAATCCATCCACCAACTTTCAAAACTCTAAAAATGTCCTATTTAGTTGTATGCATATATCAAAAAAAGTATAGAGAAATTCTTAATATGTTCACCGTTAAACACTCGGTAAAACTGTAAAAATAAATATGTATATATATATATACATATATATATATTTTTTTAACGAGGATAATAACCTGTATTAAACAATCCAATAACTCATGAACAATAAAATTCATGTAAATAATCATTTTTAGATTTGTAAACAGATTGTAAATAAAAAGTAGGATATTATACCGGGAAAAATTTTTATATAAAGATGAATTTAAATCATTTTCTCTTCTCATCGAATTGTTGCAAAAACCGACAAGTGCCACAGCACCTACCTTCCAAATATCTTTTGATTTCAATTTCAATTCGCTTTATAGTTGAAATCCTTACAGTCGAAGTTGTTTAGTAAAAAACATGTGTAACTTTGAAAAGACTCCAGTTTTCGAGGACGATAAATACCCATTCACCGCAGATACTCATACCAAGTCACACTATCTTATTCCACAAACTTCGACTTACAAATCTCCTTATTTTCGCCGAGATAGTAATGATAGCACAACTTCGGTTGATAGGATTTATCAATCATCAAT